TGAGAATTAATCAAAAAAGAAATGAATATTTAAACAATTGAAAATGAGCAATATAGTTTTAAAACTTTTCATTAAAGTTTTAATTAAAGTTTCATTAAAGATATGTAATTAAAACACTAAGAATTGAAAACAGTCTGTAACTTACAGAACCAATAGATGGTAAATTTGTTATAATGTCAGAGGTCATGTGAGCCTGTGTAACTATGACGTCACAAAAATCACATTATCTCTGACCCTCATTTGCGATTTTTTACAACTTTTTTAGTCTTCTTTTGCTACTTTAGTTTAAAATTTTCTGGAAACGCTGCTTGTGTATTATTCATCAACTGTGAAATTTGGAACTGTGGAATTTGGAACCATAAAAGTTAGTAGAAATCCAACAAAGTTACACCAGTCAATTCCTGTGGAATTTTGAGCCATACTTCTATCTGCAACTCTTACAACAAAATATTTGACCTGCTTCATTTTATTTAATTAGGCCCTCCAGTTTTAACGAAAATGTTACGTAAAATGCTGTAAGTACAAACTTCCTGCAGGTGATTGTTCCAATCTACTGCTGTTTCGCCTATCCAGCTATCCTTTCCTTATTCAACAGGTGTTAATTCAGTAAATGAACAGGAGTGCAGTACAAATGTGATTCTACACCACCTATATTTTTTTTAATGCAAGGGGAAAATACAGCAATAACAGTTACTTTATATCCTTGTTAATAAAAATGAAAAGGGGCTAATAAAAAATTATTTGGGATTACATCAAACAAAAGCACAGATGTCATACATTATAATAAAGTGCTTATCCATAACTGGTGCTAAATCACTGTGTTTGGCAACAATTTCATGGTCGATGGGATAATTTATAAGTTTTTTTTTTTTTTTTTCCTTTTAATTAAAGGATTTAAAAAGAAGGAACTCAGTGCAACCATATCTGGACTGAAATGTAGCTGAAGAGGTACTTTTGTTCCTATCACAAAACTGTGAATTTGAGCTTTGCAAGTGGATTTTACTGGTTTCATCTTGAAAAGACTGTTCCTTTGCAATATTTTATGACATTTTGAACTTTTTAAATGTTTAGAATAATTTGTTTACATTTTTTGGGAACTTGCACATGTGTCATGCAAGTACTCTATATGTGAAACATAGATTTTTAGCTTACTAATAACCTTAATTTTTTTTAACTTAATAATAACCTTAATTTTTTTAACTTAATAATAACCTTAATTTTTCTCAGAATGTTTTTTAAATATGATTTTTTGATATTTATGATATGATATAAGATATATAGTGATAAGAATGCTACTCTGGAAATTTGATACCTTTAAAAAATTGAATTATAGGAAACAGATACTAAATGGCTTTGGAAAATCTCTATATACTGATTGAAGCATCTCAGATTTCTTGTAATTATTTTTGCAAGCTGAAAAGAGCATTTTAACATATAATGTCATCCTAAAAAATTAGGCATTTTATAATGCAAGTTAAGTTGAAAGCACTAACATTGCACAGTAAAAGGTAAATAGAAGTGAAATAATTGTGATTTTCCTCTCTATCCCATCCAGGTCTTACTTCAAAGAATGTTCCACTCAATTTTTTTTAATTATTATTTATTTAAAAAGAACTTGAAAGTTCTATTAAACTTTCATGCAATACATTCTAGATTTTTTTCGGCTAAACTTTGAATAAATTATATTGCTAAAATAATTACTTTTGTATAAGTAATTTTCGGTACTCTTCTGTTATCAGAATCAGATTCAGAAATGTATATATATGCATGTATGTGTTCATGTAGGTATGTATGTATGTGTGGGCTAATCTTCCATAAGCAGGGGAATTTGGCACCAAACGTCTTTTCGTTTGTGATGTCAAACTGCACATCGCAATGTTTCATTTCGCAATTACCAATTGCAAAAAGAAACAGTGATGTGAAATCTAACATTTCCAAACTAAAATAACACTAAATACAACACAAGCATAAATTACTACCAACTAAAACATAAATTTAAAATAAAGTACCAAAAAATTCAAGTCACAAACATGAAACTAAAATAACAAAAATACAAAAATAAATTTCTACAAAAATAATACATATCAAATGTCTCTTCACTCACATCAAAAAATTTCACATCTACGAAATAATTACATAATTAAAAATAAAAAAAACTCACCATAGTTTCTGATGAAATACTACTTATACCTCTGTTTTCTCCATGCATTAGTAGTATTTAAAAGGAAAGTTCATATATATATCATAACAAAACCGATATTATAACAAAACCGAAAATAATGGCTACAATATCCCTAAAAGGTATTCTGGTTCCACAGAAGAATGCATCTTTCAGTGGATTCACTGTACCACTACATCTCAAACCAGTTTTCTTATTCTTACAAACCAATCACCAACCGAGTTTTTTACTTGAATCTTTATTAGCAACCATCTTCGCAGAACATGTTGGACACTCCACATCAGTTTCAATTGAAGGAATTAAACCAACATCTGAAATAAATTATGTAACACTTTCCTCAGACTCCAAAATAGTCAACCAAGTAAATATCTTCAGATTCACTAACAATGGATGCATCATAAATTCACTAAAATATACAAGTTACTATCCTCGTGGAATTCAACACACTGAACCACTTTCCCTCCCACATGCAAGAACCTTAACAAATAATAATAATAATAATTAACTGACCCAAAAGCATTAACTAATTCAAATTAAATGAAAATATTCATAAATTATAAACTATACGTTATCTGAAATCTAATATTTTCTCACCAGCAACAGCTTAACCTCCTGCAAATATTGAACTGTAAAACTTTTAAAAATAAACACAATATTTGAAAATTAAATAAAAAAAAAATCTTCTGACTACACTAAACTCGCACTAATTACAATCACCAAAATAAAGCTGTTTGTTTGTTGCAAGAAAACATACAGCCAGATACCACCACAACCAAATAAAAATCATGCCAAATAAGCCAAGTTTCATGCTCACCCCGCTTATAGAAGATTAAACTGTGTGTATACACACACCACATGTATATGCACATACATATGTACACACATGAATGCATGCATACATTTCTGAATCCGGACTTGATAACAGAAGAGTATCCGTTTTTCTTTTATGATTGAATTACGTGATATATTTTAAGCAATTATTGCATCAAAATATCATTGCAATATAGAATTTTATGCTATATTAATCTGATCATTTCATTGCAAATGCTCAAACAATCTTGAAAAATATTGCTATACTATTTCAATATTTCTCCTAAGATAATATTTGTTACTAATTCTGATATATGCACAGCTATAACATTTTAAATTTAGTTCTATATTTTATGCAAAAAGACTGGTTAACTAATTTAACACTACAGATTGATTTTTTTTTTTTTTTTTTTTTTTAAATTAGATCACAAATAGTAACTTAAATTAATTCAGTCAGATCTTCACATCTGCAGATGAAGCACTCCAAAACCAACTGTATAATGAGAAAAGCTCTGTATGTATTGTACTATTAGCTCTTTAATAATCATACTCTGATAAATTATGCCATAAACTGTTATATGTTGATGCTGCACTGTAAACTTATAATACACAATTATCTAATATTCTTTTAGCCATTAGAGAGTGTTCAGATGGTGATTTAGCTGTAGTTATCATAATTTTAAAGTATAAAAGTCACTACCTTCATTCACACCTGTGGAACAAAATATAAGCCATAGCCAATCAAAGAAGGTAAATTTATGCCTATATGAATGTGCAGCTGACACAGCGAAATTGTCATTTAAAACATTATTTATTTATTTTGCTGTAGTTGCTCTGTACCTATGTCACATAACAGTGAAAAGTTAGAACATTTAGATAAAATTCTTACACTAGTTTCCATGGCATAACAAGGTCTGGTTACCTAGCAATGGAAATTTGGCTTATACCACTTTGGACTGAAAATCCCTTATCTTGAATGCTCCTTAAGTCTTTATTTTTATTAGTCATCAGCCACTGAGACAGAATGAATTCACCAAATACACAAAAGTTGATACTGTTACTAGTTTTCAGTTATCTGGATTTGGTTCTCTTTTGCTATCAGAACCAGATTCAGAAATTATGTATGTATGCATGCATGCATATATTTTATTGTATGTGCATATGTGTGTGTGTGTATACACATGTATATAATATGTATGTATATAATCTGTATGCGCATGCATACATGAGTCTTAGATCCATATATTTCTGATCTAGTTCCAATAACAGAAGAGTACACAATGTACTACATAATGTATTGTCCTAAAAGTAAATCTTTTTTATAGACTACTCACATTTGGTTGTGGTCTATCATCTATTTATTCTATTATACACTATTGATGGTCAAAATTAAGTTAGTGGATAGTCAGTTTTATGTGTTTTTCCCTCATTGTTTTCACCTAATTTTAAAAAGGACACAGAGTAAAGATAAAATACTGTATTTGTTTTGTATGCAATATCACATTTGTTCTTTAATTTTAGAACAAAGTTATTCAACAATCTTTCATCAAAGTATTATATAAGCTATGGAACATCATTTGAAATCACACTTGCATATTTGCTCTTACATAATCAGGATTACTGTGGGGAAAAAATATTATAATTTTTTATTATTCAGCACGTTACAACCAATTCTGATTGCGTACATGCGCTTTGTCATTTATGAACCAGCTACTATTTAATATTCAAATGTTGCTTTTAACTATTGACAGCTGAAGCCACAGATACTGAGCCTGTACAAAGACACAACTGTATTTTGTTTGTATATATTATATATTTGATATTAAAATGTTTAAAAATTAGAAGATATAATGAAATATTTACCGAGTTTTTTTTTTTTTTTTTTTTTTTTTTTTTTTTTTTTTTCAGTCATTGATTTTTTAAAATTGATCTTAGTGGTAAAAATAAATAAGGAAATTAAAGAGTTATTTTTAAAAAAATGTGCTCATAATTGCTTTTTAAATTTGCATAGGAAAGCAAAATTTCTGTTGCGAAAAAAGAGATTTATGGAACAAATGTTGACTAAAGCTGATGCTCAGCTGCTTAATTTAGAACAAATGGTATGTAATAATTAATCTTTCAGATTATCATTTCATCATTATGGTTTCAAAATCATTAAGTTACAATTAACTGTGTAGTTTATAAAATATTTCTGTTTTCATTTAAGGCACATATTTGTAATATAGTATAACTCTTGTTATTTTGGGCAGTATTTCAATATTTCTATATTCTCATGTGTTTCAAGAATTTTTGATAGTTTTTTTATTATGCGTGTAGTATATTTTCTTTGGAAAATTTCCCTCCCTACTTTTTAATTCTTTTTCGAGATTCATTCAGGAGCCAAATAAATTAAACCACTAGACATTAGTAATTATCTCCTTCTGCTTTTGTTTCATTTATGTTAAAATATTTGTAAAAAATTTTTGTGTGATCTTGCTTTTTACTTATATACTGTCAAGTAGTATTTATGTAAGTCTATGCATATTCTTATATCTAGAAATTTTACACCCTCGTTGAATTTATGCTTGAGTGGATGTGAAATGTTCTTGCATTTTATTCTTTCAGAGCATATTGTTTGCTGAATTTTATATTCTAATATCATCTTTATGATATTTGTGTTATGTTGTAATTCATATAACTCTTATTTATTTCTTTTATGTCCTGAATTGTAGTATTATCCTGTAATACTTATTTTGTATGAATTTTTTCCCTCTTTTCTGTGTAGGCTCATGATATAGAATTTGCTCAGATTGAAAGTCAAGTCATTGAGGGTTTAAAAGTAGGAAATGACTCTTTAAAAGCATTACATGAGGTAAGTTATGCATGAAGTAAAAAATATGTTCATTATTATCAAATTTGTGCTTGACTGCTTTGATGATAGAAATATGTCCATATATATCCAACATGTTCTGTTGTTTATATATTTGCTTTAAAAAGATATTCAGTGAATAGCAGTCTTATTGTTTTTTATGTTATGTGCAAAATTGATTTTCTTATAAAGTAGAAACAATGAAAAAGATAATAGTAACAGGTAAAGCCAAGCAGTTTCTATAAAATAAAGAATCATTGTAATGTAAATTATATATATATCTAGAGAGAGAGAGATGAAGAAATTGTAGTACTTCTTTTTTACAGTAGACTTGCTGAGAAAAAGGTGGTTACAAATTCATGCATGTATATGCATAGTTTACATTTCTTCAGCTTAAGAAAATTATTCCTGTTAAAATATAATATTTTATTGTTGTTAAATATATAGTATGCTTGTTTCTGCCCTGGTGGGAAAAAAAAACAGCTACAGGGTTGCTTGTATGCTCATTTTTTAAGTTTCATCAGTTTTCTGTTCTATAATATAACAGCTTTTGTTGTCAAATATTTAATATGTTTACTATTTTCAAGCTTCCTTTGATGAGAAAAACCTATAGTTTACAGGAAGTAGGATGTTTTTAATGATCAGCAAATTGGGGACACAAAAAACACCTCACTATCACATAGAATCTTACGTAGTTGATTCATGTTCAGGCATTATGTTGATTGTTATAATGTTTTTGATGCATCACTAGCAGCAGTTGCTGAAGTGTAACCACCAGAAAGTGTTCTTTGGGGTATGTTTATATATATATATATATATATATATGTTTATATATATATATATGTTTTAAATACATTTCTTTCAAATTTGTTTTAAATGAAGTCATAAATATGAACTTATATTATTTCCATTTGTAAATATATTAAACAAATTGTATGAAGTAGGTATTGAATGAATTGCCAATTTGCGTTGGTCACCACTAAAGTATCATCACAATCATCACAATTACACCACTACCAGAAGCACCAGTTTGGGTTTCTTAACTGTGTATAATATTTGGCAACAAATCTTTCTTAAGTGCAAACTGTGCCAAGTGCTGTTGCCAGAACCACTTAAAAAAAAGAAGTACCAAAATCTTCTTTTAATAATGCAATCTAATGTATAATCTTTTGCTTTTATCCACTAGAAAGATTTGCTTTTGTGGAAATTGTTTCAGATGATGAAGATTACACAGACTGGTACATCTGATGCTATGTAAGGCTGCAACTCCACTATTTTACTTGAAATCAGAAACAATAATGCAGTACTTTGATGAGAAAAAGATACTGCAATGATGTGAAAATTATAATAAAATGAGTCACATCAATATTTTGGTCTCCCAACCCATAAAAAAGTTAATTTTATATTATACATACTGTATTCGAAAAGTTAATATTTTATTGTTCCACTTTCACATCATTTCTATCTCTTAGCAGTTTTAGTTTGTTTCAAGAACTTTTCCTGTGTGGTCTATAATTGTTTGATGCAATTAGCTTAGGTTTTGGAGCTGTCTTATCAGTTGGAAGATCTTCAGTATCATGTTAGCAAAAATCTGATGTGGACACCTAAAATTCCTCGAATTTCGTCAGATATATTTCTTGTTCAATTAATTCAGTTCTCAATTTGCTACAAGGAAAAAATGCATAAAACTTCAAAATATATTCATTAAAAATTGAAAAATATAGAAAAAGATAAAGCAACCCAAACAATTAAAAAACAATTTTTACAATTAAAATTAGAGTTTCTATGCAAAAACAAGCAATTTGGCTAGCAGGCAAGAAGGCAGATTTTTCAGTGCACAAAACTGAAAGTTTATTTTTGGTCTCAGTTGGCTAAAAGACATTGAAGGTGCTGAAACTAACTTAATTCACTGTTCTGCTAACTTTCAAATGTAAACAAATATGGCTGCTATGGTTAAAAAAAAAAAAAAAAAAGTTTAGGCTTAGCCGTACTTAAACGATGTTTAAATTTTTTATAATTCTGAAAGTTATGTGAGATACATACATACGTATGTACCAACGTCATGAAAAAAATCTCTTTTGAATCCATTTTAGATCCTTTTTACTTCTTTTTGCTACGTAAAAGAAGCTTTGTAAGTACGAAAATTTTTTAGCATCATATTTCAATGAAAATATCCATTTTGGCTGCTATCAAATTAAATTTAACAATATTTATGTGTAACGTCTGTATTTAAGGAGAGAATAAAGGACTGCTTTTCCCAAAACAGGTTGCAAAAAGAGTTTAAAATGGTTTCAGAAGAGAATTTTTCATGATGCCTGTACGCACATACATACATATGTATACATACAGTTTTATGTATGTATTTCTCATAACTGAATATTGAGTAGCCTCAGAACATTGAAATTTCGTATATATAGGACTGCTATAACATGTAGCTGTGCATCTTCCTTTTTGGTTGCAGTTGGCCACACCTAGTATATATGCACCCACTCTGTTACTCAGGTTGGTGAGCTCAGTTTTTTTTTTTTTTTTTTTTTTTTTTTTTTTTTTTTTTTATTATTATTATTATTATTATTATTATTATATTTGGTAAATATGCATTTTTTGCTTTAAAAATGATTGAATTATGTTTTTCATATCTTCCGGTTAAGGTTTTTATGCCTTTAGTTAATCTGCTTGCAATAGTTGTAGAATTATCAACAATTTAAAAGCTGTTTAAGCGTGAATAAGCCTAATTAAAAAAAAAAATTTTAAACCATAGCAGCCATATTTGTTAACATTTGAAACTTAACAGAATAGTGAAATAAATCAGTTTCTGCACCTTCAATGTCTTTTTGCTGAGTAAGACCAAAAGTAAACTTTGAGTTTTGTGCACCAAAAAATCTGCCTTATTGCCTGCTGGCAAAAGTGCTTTTTTTTTTTTTTTTTTTTTTCCCCCCCCCATAGAAACTCTAATTTTAATTGTAAAAATTGTTGTTTTTAATTGATTTAACTGTATCTGGTGTTTTATATTTCTCAATTTTAACAAAGATATTTTGCCTTATTTGCCTTATTAACAAAGATATTTTGCCTTATATTTTGCCAAAAATTATTTTTGTATTTTTGCCTTGCTGTGAAGTAAAAACTGAATTGACAGAATGAGAAATATATCTGTAATGAAAGTCGAGGAAATAAGTTTAAACGAAATGTAGCAAAAAATGCATATAATTTAATATTCCGTACAAGGAAGTCGCGGTGTGCACATCAGATTTTTTTCAAAGCGTTTTAGGAAAAAGACTCCTTTAGTCTGTCCTTACGTAAATATGTCAGAAGAAAATATTGTTCAGTTGTATTCAATAGCAGTCAAAATGGATATTTTTATTGAAATATGATGCCCAAAAATTTTGATGATTACAATACTTCCTTTACTTTGTACAAGGAAGTAAAAAAGGTTTTAAGTATCACTGGAACTAACAGTTTATATATAAATGTATGATATTTATAGTAATGTATAATTTTGATCTGTTTGATTTTAAGAGATTTATTATTTGAACTGTTATAAGTTTAATATGCTTTTCTTTTTAAGATTAACAATTTTGAACCTTTTATTGATGAGAGATTTGTGATGCTGTCTTTCACTTGAATATTTAAAGGCACATAAACAGTTATTATTGTACCTTTAATAATAATGAATAAGATCGAAGTATTGCTAAAATTATTGTAATGTGATATTGAACCGTGATGTAAACAAATGCATCTGGCAAATTATACTTATCCTTACACTTGATATAAGATGGCCATAAATCTTCAATTTATAAAAAAAGCATGCAATCTTCAAAACATGATAAAATAACGTAAAATTGTATGATATGCCATATATTTTTTTTCTCGTTGTGGACTTTGGCATGCCTCATTAATGTCATTATTCTCATTAGTTGCATGTGTTACTGAAGTGTTTTTATTTTACTTGTTGTTTTTACATACTGTTGCTGTTAGCAGTGTTATGGAGGTATCATTTGAGTAAGCCCAGCATGAGATGACATGTCTTCCAGAAGGAATACATTTATTACTGCAAATTATCATGGCCCCAGAATATTTTTATCATTTTTTATTGCTTAATTTTTGGAAAAACATTTTTAAACAATGATTTTGTTCTATAACATGGCAGTTTTCCTTTAATTTTTTTAAAGCCAAAAAAAAAAAGGACAAAAAAATTTATTCTGTATTTTATTCAAGTATATAAATTACAAGGTAATAAGTTTGGTTAATGTATTCATAAGCAAAAGACTTTTCACTAAATGAAGAAAGAAAATTTAATTATTAAATTTAATTATTATTAAAATATAATTATTAATGCCCATCATTTGCAATTAACTTTTGATGGTGACTGAACAGTTCCTAAAATTTGTGAGCAAAGTCCTGTTTTAGTATCATGTTTAAAACCCTTGTTACATAGTTTTCTGTGTCTGATATATCTAAAAAAATTATTCTCATTTACAGCTTATTTTGGGCGCAAAAATGGAAAGGTCTGTGCTGGATTATTTACGTATAATGGAAGATTGTGTGAGTTTAATGTATGATTGAGGGCTATCACTCCTGCAGATCATAAATTGTTTCACAAACAACTGGGCATTATCATAGAGATGCAACTAAGAGTCCATCTTATCAAATTTTGGACATACATGATAGATCATGTGCAATAAAGTTGACAAAACATCCTTGTACATGTTAGCATGCATTTTTGCTCTTTTTGGCCAGCATCATCACTTTTTTATAAATTTTTATCACTAGGGGTCTACAACTTCATGGCATTCTTTGCAGATTCATGAAGCTTAAATAGAACTTTGAATATGTTAATATCCTTTCTCTTTTTCCTAGTGCTTATACAATGTAATTAATTAAAGAATAAGATGTTTTTATGGATATTCTGTGATTTTAATGTCTTGTTTAAGTCGTGAAAGAAATTGTGGACCATTGATTTTACTTGTTTGTCAAGAATGTTTAAAGTCACTTTATATATAAATTTGATTTTTTTAAATTTTTGAATGGAACAAATATATTTTTAAAAAAATTATTCAGTTTGTGTATTCCTTTCATTCAAACATGTAAATGAAAATTCATACCTTTCATACGTATATGTTATTTAGTGCAGTAGCTAAATCTGTTCTTAGACATAATTACTTTAGCACTTTGAAACCCAGGAATAGTCCATTTCTTTATTTAGTTAGGTATTTATGAATCTTTGAACAACCATTTGCCAGATTCTTCTAAAATGAATTCCATTCTAAATGCAAGAAACTTTTGGAGCCCATAATTCTGCAATTCTTTTAAGAATAGCCTCAAAACAATTTTCTTGGCCCCACCACATAAAGTCATTGAAGTAGAACTTCAAATAACATATATATCAAAAGTATTCTGGCATCCCTAATAGAAAAGTTAAACCAGAAAGCATTCCCCTATTTCACAGTTGAGCCCACTAATACCCACTGTTTAGATAAGATCATTGGTATTGTTTCTCTTATGTACAGAGATACTGCCTCCCAAACAAGATAATGGTTAGTGACTTACTACTGCACTAAAGGGTCTGGGTTTGAATCCCAGAGAAGGCATGGATATTTGTAAATGTATAGTGTCTTTGCGGCATGGAGGCACTGTAACTGTATGGTAAGCCAAAAATCCTCTCGTGTGAATTGGTGGTAAAGAAGAGGGGAGGGAGACCTTCGAACCCATATCCGGAGTGCTCTCTTTCAAAACTGGGATGGAACTGGGCAAAATCATGCTGTCACTATGGCACCAAAGGCTGTTGGGAGATGTAATTTTGACTCCTTGCTTTAATTTTATGGGCTTCCTTTGGTGAGGTCAGATAAGTGAGAAAACAACACAACAGCAACAAAGAGGCTCATGAATTTCAAGAATTTTATTGGCTCATCGACTTTAATATACTTACATTTTGAAGAAACTTTTCTCTTGAAATTATGTAGAAAAAGGGTTGTATTAATAAACATATTTGTTCCTACCACTATTTCATTCACCATTTTCCAGTTTTGCCCATGTGCTGTACAGGTGGCTGCTTTTGGACGTTTACTGATTTATTATGGGCAGTCTCATTTCTCTGTTGCTTGTACTGTTTTTCTTGTATTTTCCTATCTTTATCATCAAATTAGTCATATAGATGGCAGTAGATGCCCACTAAGAGATAGTTTGTAAAGTCTGTTTTGTTATATTTTGACTGGTTCAAAGGCACACACATTTTTCATATTATTTGCATGACTTGGAAAATTTTTATCATTACTATAATTTATTTTTAGTAGCTCTACTAGGACTAGCACAAACACATTTTTTATGTGATTTTACCTACAGAAAAAAAAGGGGGGAACTAAAAATCTGCCAAAGATGGCGATGTTTTTTCAGTGAAGTAAAAATGACGACAGTAAAAGAACTGAAAAAGGGACTTGCTATTTTTATTTGGACTGTACTTCTCATCTGGTTTTAAGATACATCAGATTAAACCAAATCATTGGGAAAAAAAGGGGGGGGCTAAGTGAATATAATTGTAATTGAATATAATTTTAAAGTAATTTTTTTATATCAATACAACTATGAATGCAGCTTTCTTCTTGGGTGCTTATGTAAAAAGAAAAGACAATTTCCAGGGAAAATATTATTTTCCTTTTTACGAAGCAAAATTAACAAAAATATTCATAAAAAAAGTTACGATTTTAGAAATGCATTTGGGGGAAAAAATTAAACAGTTAAGTAGTCATTTCCAGTTAATTAGTAACTTATCATTTCTTTTAACTAACAATGCATAAAGAATAAGGTGGTAAAAAAGAACATTTTTGAGTCTTGTAATCAGTCTTCATAATGAATGCTATTTTTTAAGCATTGTTTAAGTGTACAGTAAGTGTGTTGTTCATTTCATTTCATTATAACTTTAACAAAGACTACTGCAGGAAATTTTAATAGCTAATGCAATACTTTGTTTGAGAGACTATCAGTAATTAAGCATACAAATTGCATTATGCATTATGTTGAGAGCTGGACTTAATGATGTGACTTCAATAAATATATAAAGCAATTTTTGTAAAAGTAACATTTAAAAAGTAGTAACAAAGATACTTATCATTTATTTGGATAATTATTATTTTTAATGATTCTTATGAATTTTATTTCTTACAGATGCTTTCAATTGATGAGATTGAAAGGATAATGGATGAAACTCAGGAAGGTATAGAAAAACAAAGAGTGAGTATTTTAATATAAATAATCTGTTACTCTTTTAAATGATTATACAGAACAGTAACATTTGTTTGTGAGTGTGTAGGTATTTTAAATGTGTGTGAGGCTTCTTTTACTCTAAATAAATTTCACCTTTTATCTTTTGTAAATGTTTAAAGAGTTTAAAAATGAGAGTTTAAAAGATTAAATTTAAAGAGTTTAAAAATGACATTTTAAAATCTTCTGAATTTTCTTCCATATAATGAAATTTTTGTATATTGTCCTTTGCAATTATATTCCATAAGAATTTAATTATAATTTGATAATGCAGAAAGATCATCTGCAATGAAAATTTCATTAAGTTCAATTTGCTTAAAGTTTAAAGGTATATTTGGAGTTTTAATTCCTTTTAAAATGTATTCTATATGACTGGATTTAAATATTACTGTGTTCCATATATTTGTGAAAGCATTTTCTAATACCTTTTTTCCCTAGTACTTCACATATAAAAATGTAAAATGTCATTAATATTTTTTCAAGAGATTCTGTGCCAATTACACAATATATGGCATTAGAAATTTCTTTTATGAAGTATAAATTAAATGTATTTTAATTTTACTTCAACATGTTATTAAAAAAATCTGATATTGACACTACACGACTTTCTTATATGACCTGTTAAATTGTATACAATTTTTCCTGCACTTCATTTAAATTTATTTTCTCAGATTATTCTAATTTAATAATTAACCATCCCTCAAGACAAGTTGAAAATGACATCAAAAATTACAAATTTTGAAATTAAATATCCCAGTCAGTTTTTATCATAATGCAGTCAAACAACTTATAATTTAATTTCTTCATAATAAGTATAAAACTTTCCCAAGTATAAGAACTGAAGATTGCATTGAAATTTAGATTTCATTATTTGTCAAAAAAGAATTAATTTTGAAATTTGACATTACCAAAACAGGAATATTTTCATCATTTGAAACACTTCTGTAATTAGAATATATGACTATAACCAACAATTGTGAAAATAAAGGCTGGATGACAATTTATAAGCCAGGTAAGGCAGTGGGAATCTATTGAATGGTCATAAAAAAACCTTTCCCAAGCAGCCTATCCACACAACCAATCAAAATGAAATTTAAGGTATTATTTTTTGAAGGTATGTACTCAATATTATGATGATTTAAAGCAATAGAGCTCACATGGTTACCATTACAGTGAAAAAATTTTGAAATTTTCTAATGAGAAAGCCCACTTTTTTATGTGCAAATTGACCAGTGCAATGAAAAACATAAATGCCGTTGGAATGACACATGTATGACAAAAATTGCTGGCATAAAAGATTTGCAAAGAAGAGCATTGTAAAGAACCAAAGACAACACAAGAAAGGAGAGGGAGGGAATTTTTATTGGAATTACAAGTTTTTAGCATGTACGCTATTTCACAATATGGTCATCTCCCATATCTTTGCAATTTCATGGCAACCACAATCCCCTGACTTCATTCTGATGGATTTCATATTAAATCTAAGGCATATGCATCGAATCCGCGAGATTTGTCAGAGTTGGAAGATGTCATAAGTTATACAGATTTCTTTTGCGATGTTACATTCGTGATTGTTGTCAACTATCTTCTGCATGCAATGTGTTATCATCTTTGAAGGTGAGCACGTTGAAAACTTGTCATTCCAATAAAAGTTTTTTTTTTCCCCTCTTCTGTCTTGTGTTACCTTTGGTCCTTTACAATATTCTTCTTTGCAGATGTTTTATGCTGGCAACTGTGTACCCTTCTAAAGCCATTTATGGGTTTTCAATGCACTGATCAGTTTCGATGAGAAAAAAAGTGGGTGTTGCCATTAGAAAAATTTTAAATGTTTTTAATGTAACCCTAAGAGCTCTGTTGTTTCAAATCATCACAATATTAAGCTCATAACTTCAAATAGCAATATCTGATATTTTATTTCAGTTGATGAGCAGATAGACCACTAGAGTTTCATAGATCAGGGAAATTTTTTTTACACACGTTTGGTACTACCGATTGCAGGAAAAAAGGGAGGGGCTAAACTAAATGTTACAGCAGTCTTGTATACAAAATTTCAACTTTCTATGGCTAATTGTTTTTAATGAAAGGTATTTAATATGTGTGTAATAATGCAAGGTATTTAATATGTGTGTGCATACAAACATTATGAAAAAAATCCCTTCAAAATCCATTTTACAATGTATTTTGGGAAAAAATTTTATTTATTCTGCCTGTACATATAGGTATTATGGAAAAACGTCATCCATATAGATTAGGGAACAGTCAAAATGAATATTTCCATTGAAATATGATGCACAGAACTTTTTGCTATTGCAATACTTCCTTTACTTTGTACAAAGAAGTAAAAAAATAAATTTAAATTATTAAGAATGAATAAATTGCCTTTAAATCACTCTATATTATTAACAGCTTGATTAAGTTTGAAAGATAAATTAACTATCTTATCTTTTGTTGAATGGCAGCATTTTGAAAATTGGCAAAATCCAAGGGTGCCTAGAAGATAAACTGTTATCTTATGTTTTGTGCAGGCATAATACTTGCTAAGTTGCATGGATGATTTATGCTGTACCATTCTTTTTCTATTTGTTTCCAAGGCATGATCATGTCTGCAGATTTTTTTCAGGACATATTTTATACATTAACTTAAAAATAATAACATCTCTGTAAGGCATTAAAAAAACTTTCCTGTCAGCTTTTGTTTTGTTTGTAAGCATTAAAAAAATAAAGAGATGAAGATAGATGTATAGGCTGAATCTCATATTCTATAGTGGCCTGAGAACGGAACAGTTCGGGTTGAACTGAACTTAGACCTTTCTCCTTTCTTTTAGTGTGGCTAATTGTAACTGCACTTTTTGAGTGACAAAAAGGCAGACTTGTTCACAGTCCAAATTAATCATACTAATTAATATTTTTGTGCTTTCAGAAATAATTATATAGAAAGTAAATTCTTTTTTAATTTTATTGATTTGTTCTGACATTAAATTAACTTATTTATTATTATAATTAGTTAGTTTTTTCTTTAATTACTATTAAAATAACTAACAATTTTACTACAAGCTACTACTTGAAGTCTAACAGTTGTACAATGAACTTTTGCCTCTTTTTAACAAAGTGATTGAAAAGTATTGAAATTAAATAATAATAATAATAATTCAATAAATCCAACTTGAAATAGATGAGTGATTATATACCAGAAAATAAAGGAGGAGCAATATCAGCAGCCAACAGCAGTAAATACTTGGAGACAATTATCATTAAATAATGCAATGAATGTGATGCAAAGGCACTTTTCATAGTTCCCTCATCTGAAAATTTATTTATCCTAAAAAGAGTGTTAGGAACTTAAATCCTGCAAAAATAAAAGACATACTGAGTATAATAGTCATGCATATTTGTGTAACAAAAATACTGAATGATTTCAACATTAATGTGAGGAACCAAAAAACAAAAATTTTTAAAAAGGTTTTAAAAATATATGTATTATCCCAACATTAAATTCTCCTGCAGCTTCTTTTCTGCTAAGTGGTTGAAGTATTAAAGAAAGTATGGCATGTATAGTTGCTGAGAAGTTAATAAAAGTCATATGTTAAAACTGCAAAATTTAGTGAAAGATATATTAAACAATTTGAGAGCTCTCTGATACCACAGCTATGAGATGATTGAGGCAGTGACACTATTTTATGAAGATATATTTATGTTTCATTTAAAGTTTCTGAGCATCAATTTACCATGCCAGCTGGATGAATTTGATAGGTGTTACTGTTTGGTAGTATTGCTTTCTTATGTTTTTTTATTCTATAGTCTAAGAAGATGCACTTTGGGATTTATGTTCACTTATTTAAGACTGTGCGACAAGCAAAGTCCCAATATTGCAAATAATTACAATCACCCTATACATTTAACATTCTCATTGCTGTCTTGATTGCTGCAGGCTTGTGGTAAAATGAATACTTAAAAATTTTTTATGACATTATAAAAATTATAAATTTATTGAAACCAGATAATTAAAATCAAGATTGTTTATTTTTTATGCATTGAATTATTTAATAATCATACAAACTTATTTTGACATTCAGAAATGTAATTATTGTCTTGATGGAAGCTAATTTTTATAGTTAAAACAGGATGCTTAAATTTTTTTTAAATGGATATCATTATGCTCCAGGATCACGTAAGGAAATATGGTTACACTTTATTAATCAATTTAGCAAATGTTTTTGCCACTTTTAAGGAAGTTAAAGCAATGTTCTAAAACTTACAGAGCTCATTAATAAATTAATAAAACAATAATGCGATAATTTTAAACTTGAGCAATTGGTCATCAAATGTCAGAGAGAGATTAGTATGCAATGTTTTGAAAAACTGAATATTATTCTAGATGAATTAAATTTGGATGAGGGTGTTAAAAGTGCATATTAAAATATATTTTAATTGAAAAAGCTGTTAAAAAAAAAAACCTCAAAGGAAATTGAAAAATAGGATTAAAAATTCAATGCAGAATTATAATAAATTATATCATTTGCTTGTAAAGGACCTTTTAAGGACTTTTAAGGAAGTAAGGAGGACTTTTAAGGAAGTTTTAAGGACTTTTACTCCACTTTTAAGGAAGTTAAAGCAATGTTCTAAGACTTACAGAGCTCATTAATAAATTAATAAAACAATAATGCGATAATTTTAAACTTGAGCAATTGGTCATCAAATGTCAGAGAGAGATTAGTATGCAATGTTTTAAAAAACTGAATATTATTCTAGATGAATTAAATTTAGATGAGGGTGTTAAAAATGCATATTAAAATATATTTTAATTGAAAAAGCTGTAAAAAAAACCTCAAAGGAAATTGAAAAATAGGATTAAAAATTCAATGCGTAATTATAATAAATTATATCATTTGCTTGTAAAGGAAAGAAAAGCAATTAACTATTATCTCAGCCAACTTATCAGTAAGAATTAAATACTTGATTTTTAGTTTAAAATTATTACAGAATAACCTGAAATTATTAAAAAGGATCCTGATACCCCTCAATATGGTTATTTGAGCAAAGAATCATTTTCAAAATATATGACAACAAAAACAAAGCAAAGAAATAGATTGGAAATGAAATCTGAAATGCGATTACAGATAATGACTTAAGTGTAATGAAATGGGGGAAATTAAATAGAGGGTTGGGATGTAATGCTTGCTTTGTGAAATACTTGTTTAATAATAAATATATTCTTTATGTTTTATGATTTCGTTTTGATGTGTATGGATTAACATTTCAGAACAGTTTGCCGTTGAAACAATTTTCAGACATTAGACAGTTACAGTGGTGGCCAAAATTGTGGACACTTTTGGAAATTTTTATGTTTTTGAACTTTGTATGCTTATAAAAAACATTACGTTTCACAAAATGCAAACTTGTATATATCATTTTAAAGAGAATTTATTACTGAATTCAGTACAAAACACAAAATTCAATTATTTGCAATACAAAAAGTTAAATGATAATAGTTATCGATATACATTAGATAGTGATGATTGCAGTGAGTTATCAGTATGTAGTAGGGTACCCTTTATTTTTTATTACAGCTTCACATCGACGTTTCATTGAGCTGACAAGAGTTTTAAGCTCTTCTTTTGTTATTACATGATGCCAGGAAACAATTATAGCCTCAATTAGTTCCCTTTTATTTGATGAGCGCCTCATTCGGACAAGAGTTTTCAAACGGTGCCACGAATTTTCGATAGGATTGAGGTTAGGACTGTTTCCTGGCCATGACAACAATTTAATGCTCTTTGTACGAAACCATTCTTTCGATATTTTTGCCGTGTGGGAAGGAGCAGAATCCTGCTGAAAAATAAACGAAGCATTGTTGGGAAAGAGATCTCTGATATCTGATCTGGAAGGTAGGAGTTTTGGTTCTAGAATAGTGTCAATGTATATTCTGGCATTCTGTGCCCCATCGATGACATGAAGGCAACCAATACTATCTGCTGACATGCATGACCAAATCATAACACTAACTGGGTTCTTCACAGTAGCTTGAATGCAGTCAGGATGTAGCTCTTCTCCTATTCTACGTCTTACATATTTTCGCCCATCACTACCGAATAACGATATCTTAGTTTCATCACTCCATATAACTTGTGACCACTGATCATCTGTCCAATTAATTGTTCCTTTGCCCATTGTAGTCTTTTTTTTTTTTTTTTTTTTTTTTTTGTTGCTGAAAATTAAGGTAAGGCTTTTTTCGTGGAATTCTACCTCTCAGTCCAACATCTGTTAATCTTCTCCTGATTGTTCTTGAACTGACAGAAACACCAGCATCGTTCAGATCACTTCTGATGGCCGCTGATGACATTTTTCTATCTTGGAGACATAGTGTTTTTATTCTTCTGTCATCAATAGATGTGGTGCACCTTTTTCGGCCTTTTCCTTCTTTGTTTTTTTATTGAATTTGTCTTTCCTGATATCGTAAATAAAACTTTCAGGACTCCAGATGTAGTCACTGAATCCACCCACCTGTCCTTGCAATTCCAGCATAGGAAAGACCACTTTCTCATAACACAATAATATTACGTCTCTTTCTAGGTGTCCAATCTACTCTTTTATATTGATGTCATTGCTTCTTGACTAAATATTAAAAATTTTTACAAAAATTCCTACTTGTAATTGCAGTATATAAGAAACAGGTCCTCCTTCTACAGAACAAAGCAAAATAATGAATTGTTTTCAAGTGTAAACATGATGTCAGCTTCTACTGGCAGTTACTAACATTTGATTGGTTCTCAGAACAAAAGAACAGTGATTGGCCAGGAAAGCTAGACATTGCAAACCACTTCATAACTGTGTTTTTTATTTATATTAAAGTACATATAAACTTTTTTTGTATTGCAAATAATTGAATTTTGTGTTTTGTATTGAATTCAGTAATAAATTCTTTTTAAAATGATATATACAAGTTTGCATTTTGCAAAACGTAACATTTTCTATAAGCATACAAAGTTCAAAAACATAAAAATTTCTAAAAGTGTCCACAATTTTGGCCACCACTGTATATCTGAGTCAACAGAGTTTGAATATCACTGTTGTAGGGTAAAAAGAAAATTTTAGATATCACCTATTTTACATGGGCCTTATGTGTAATTTTTTTTTTAAATGCATAAAATTCAATAAGAGGCATGACTTTAAAATTGTTTATTCTTGTGTGCCTGTTATAATGAAATATTTTTAATGATTTGTAGTTTTATCTTAAATAATATGTTAAACTTTATAGCTGTCAAATATATTTTTAATTAAAAATATTTGTAGTATAAAACAGTAGTTAAATGTCTTATTACCATAGGAAATTGACGAAATTTTGGGTGGAAAATTGACTGAAGAAGATGAAGATGCTGTTATGGAGGAATTGGAATCTATAATTGCAGAAAGTTTGCCATCACCTGTTACTGAGCCTGAAAAACTGCCTGAAGAAAAAGCACTTGAATTGCCTGATGTCCCTACAGAAGATCTTTTAGGTAATATATTTTATTCATACATTATTTTAAATAGTACTCATATGATGTTTTTATAACTTCAGTCTTGGATGAGTATTATACTACTGAGCACTTGCTTGTCTTGAAAAGAGGGATTGAGGCTTTCTCTTAAAAGCATAATGTTTGAAACAATTCAAAACATACTGATGTGTACTTCCTGAAAGAAAAAGGGTTCTATAATAAACTATACAGTGATCTATAATAAATTACACTATGAACCCACACCATTCTATTATTTTTGGCTGATGGAAAAGAGTTTCAACGCTTTCATGCATGTTCTTACCCATGTACACTAGTTATGTATATTTGGGCTTCCATTAAGAAAAAAAATGCTCCTTGTCATTCCACAGCATGTTTGAAACTAGTCTGCATTGTTTCCATCAGTTGAAAAGCTCAATTTCAAATTCTTGCCATCTGTCAGAATTGGTAGGTTTCAGTTTCTAAATATGTTGGATCTTGTAAAGATTCATTATGTGCATGATCCTGAGTGATCATCATACAATTCCATATGGAATGTTAGCTTTCTTAGACCTTTACAGAGCAGTCTGTTGGTGAAAAATGTAATTATTGTAGCAATAAAAGTCTTCACTTTAAAAAACAGTAATAATAATACATGCTTTTCTGTGCATTTCTGTGAAAAATACATCATGCTACTGTCAGTATTTTTTTTTTTTTTTTTTTTTTTTTTTTTTTTTTTACTTATGAATTTTTTACTTTTCTGTTACTTTAAGATCACCCAATATATATTTAATTTTCTATATTTGCTGTGAGATCTGCTTTCAGATCTGTAAAAATAGATAGATTCTGAAACTAAGTTTATATCAGTAATAAAACTAGTGAAATAACAATTATTTAAAAAGAAGAGAATATAAAATTTAATTTTAAAAATTTTAATTAGAAAACTGAAGCTATTTCATTGTAAAAAGTATAACAAAACAGATATCCTTTCCCCATTTGTTATATGAAATAACCTATTTTGTAATTATGAATTACTTAACTCAACTTCATTATATAGTACTCATGAAATTTCAAAAATGGCATATTCCTTTGTACCACACAAGATATTATACTGCAGAGTTCATCAGGGTAGAATAAAATTTTGGAAATGGTTTAATATCATAAGGATTAATAAATTTCTTTCAAGGTGAAGGAAAGTGGTCAGAAGAAAGTGATCTTTTGTTTATTTCTCACTAATATTTTTGTAGAAATATTTTGTTCATGTATAATATTATAGTCAATTTAAATATTTTCATTATACAGGGTGTTTATAATGAATGGTATGGTTTTAAAAATTAATAATAAATCAATGTATTATATTATCCATATGCCACCTACACCATAAGCATTGGCAACTTTCCAAGTTTCTCATATGCTCCTGGCTGTTTGTTGTGCTTACTGCAGAGCGTGTCAGTTTCCAAAATGACACTGCAACAGAAACAAACTTTGAGTGTGCTCTGTTTTGAGGTGTCTAAATCTGTGTTTTCAATGCAGTGCGAGTTTCATGCACGTTCTACGAAAAAGTGCATGGCCCATTTTTCTTTGAAAAAGAAACTGACTCATTTCTAGACATATTGGAAACCTGGCTATTACCCTAGCTGAACACAATTTTGATGATTAAATTTTGCAACTGGATGGTGCTCCATCCTATTTTCACAGGAATGTATGAGAGCTTCTTAGTCATATTCTTCACCAACACGATAACGTGCTGCAACAGCAGACAACAACATTCTCCCCTGGCCATTTTGTTTGTCGGATTTGTGCGTACCATTGTTTAAAAATAGTGGACTGTAAATTGACTTGATATTACTTCAGTATAGAACCCAAGAAACCTCAGAGTCATAATGTTGGCCGAAACTTCTTTATTAACTTTCAAACATTAAGTTGGTTGAGGAACGGCGAAGACCACACTGCAAACTCCGACTTCGGTAGCGGCTTACCACACAAACTCAGAAGAACCTCTGCTTAATTGAAACTCCAGTAATTCACAGCTACCTCAAAGCTCTAAACGCGAGCTTTAAAAACCTAACAAATTTGTGTCTGCGCCGCACCTCAGTACAAAGAAAGAAATACAATTTGCATAACATCGAACATACCCCCAGCCTTGAAGTCCCAAGGGGGTTCAAACAATAAATTTAATCTGTTGAACTGAATAAACCTGAAAATAAAAATTAAAGTCTTCTAAATCAGGAATTAAATGGCAAAGCACATAGCTTTGCTATAGGTCTTTTTATTTCACCATCGGAAGTGCGTAAACTCACCACTCGAAACTTTCTTCATCAAGACCAGGATACACTTTGAGTAATTCTATCCTAATTTCCAACGTAGCGGAGGCAGATTTTCGTTCTTAATAAGAACCATATCACCAATCTTCATATCTTGTTGTAACTTGCACCACTTGGGTCTCTGCTGCAATTTAGATAAATACTCACTGCTCCATCTCTTCCAGAAATGTTGAAATAACCTTTGCACATTCCTCCAACGATCACTGCAGCTCATGGTTTCTTGAGTTTGGTTAGATTCTGGAATAGCGCTTAAAGCCGCTCCGGTTAAAAAGTGTCTTGGTGTTATCGCCTCCAAGTCGCTGCAGTCACTTGAAGCTGGTACCAAAGGCCTAGAATTAAGACAGGATTCAATTTGGGTTATTAACGTCAAAAATTCCTTGTATGTTAAAGTAAGTGTTCCTAAACATCTTTTAAGTGATGTTTCATAGACTTGATACCCGCTTCCCAAAGCCCTCTGAAATGAAGGGCGGAGGGAGGATTAAATAACCATTTAATATTTTCTGAAGAAATATAACCCTGTAGCTGTTCATCACGTTGAACAGTAGAAAAGGCTTTCCTTAATTTTTTATTAGCTCCTATAAAATTCGTTGCACAATCACTGTGAATTTCACACGGTTTGCCTCTACGAGCTATAAACCGTGTAAGTGTCGCGAGGAATGATTTTGTTGAAAGATCTCCAACTAATTCTAAGTGTATTGCTCTTTTATTAAAACAAATAAATAGACATACATAACACTTAAAGATTTTGACTCCTCTACCAGGACAATATTTAACGTTAAATGGTCCTGCTAAATCAATCCCTACACGAGAAAAAGCTCTACTTTGAGTAACTCTTGAAGCGGGTAAATCTGCCTAATGGCAGATCAGCTAATGCTGAGTTGCAGTTTGCGCTCTAACTCTATGGCAGATAACACATTGGTTTATACACTTCCTTATAATATCTCTAGCATTCACAATCCAAAATCTATGTCGTATGACTGAAGTGAGTAGCTGCGTACCTGCATGAAGATACGTGTCATGATAATGCTTAATAATTAAACGTGTAATATTGTGATTCTTAGGTAAAATCATAGGATGTTTCTGATTATTTGAAACTGTAGAGTTTCTGAGCCTTCCGCCTACACGCATTACTTCCTGCGGAATCTAAGAAGGGACTTAAAGACAGTAATCTTACTTGATGTCTTCAAGGGTTTACCAGATTCTAAACAGAATAATTCTTCTGGAAATTCGGCTCTTTGCTACAATCCTAACAATCACAGAAGTAACTTCACAGAAGTTCTTCAGTAGAATAAATAACCTTTAACTTTATACACTCTGTAGGTAACTTACTACAATTATTTCTGAAATCTTAAACACCACACTTAACACTCGACATAACTTTAACCATGATGAAAATTTTGAAAACACACTAGGCTCTTCAAATTTGGAAAACATTTGAACTGAAAACTCTTTTTCACTTCCTTCAACATAACTTCACCCTCTAATTCTACACTTGAATTTGCTGTACATGATTAGGGATTCGTTTAACCACTGCGGTCCCTCCATCCATAACTCACATTGTAAGAATTCTGATGGAATAAAACCTCTGGTCCCACAGTCTGCAGGATTCTTGTTTCCCAGCAACATAATTCCATTGAATACCTGAAAGAGCTTTCCTGAATTTTCGCAACTCCGGTTTGCTACAAAAGGTAGCCAACGGCGAGGTTCGGACGAAACCCATGCCAATGTAACCCTGCGAGTTGGTCCATGCGTAAATATTGTTAATCTGACAGTTCTATGTATGATGATACTGCATGTTAAGAGGTTGGTTAAAAGTAACGCATCACACAACTCTAGTCTTGGAAGAGAACTGGGTTTTTAAGGGTGCCTACTCTGGTTTTTGATGTCAGAAGGCTGAACCTTGACTGACGAATCAAGGTTGATTGTTCGGAGATAGATGACTGCACAATAAGCCTTTTCTGAAGCGTCGCAGAAAGCATGGATTTCTATAACTACTGCCTTCAGGACTCAAGACATACCTCGGAAATTGTAAGCTTAAAAGTAAGGGCGATTCTGGATAGAAACGCTTCCATTTTCTACTTATTCTCTTATCAACGAGTTCATCCCAACCCAGCTGTAAGTTCCATAACTCTTGTAATAATATTTTCGCATATATTATTGTTGGCGTTAACCATCCCATTGGATCAAAGATTTTGGCTACCTCTGATAAAATAGTCCTCTTAGTAAACTCTTTATCACTTATGCATACCAAAAAATGAAATGCATCACTAGAGTTGTTCCAATTAATTCCTAATACCTTTACTTTCTTGTCACTGGTTATTTCAAGAAAAATACTGGATTCTCGTAAGCACTCGGGAATATTCTCTAAAATAGCTGAACTGTTTGAAATCCACTTCCTTAAGCGGAATCCACCCCTTTCCATCATTTCATTCAACTGCTGAACTAGAACATTCGCTTCCTCTTCACTTTGTGCCCCTGAAAGCAAATCGTCAACATAAAAATCACGGAGGGCAATTTTTGATGCTAAAGGGAATCTCACTTGTTCATCTAATGCAAGTTGTTTCATTACTCTAGTAGACAAATATGGCGCACAGGCAGTCCCATATGTAACTGTCACTATTCTAAATGTACTCAAGGGCTCACTAGGACTATCCCTCCAAAGCATCCGTTGCCAATTTGTATCTTCTGGACATGAATTTGTCTGAACATCTTCTCTACATCGGCACATACTGCAATTTTGTGATTTCTAAACCATAGAAGAATTGGAAACAGCTCTTGCTGAACTCTTGGCCCAACCATCAAAATATCATTCAATGAAAGACCCGATGTCGTTTTAGCTGAAGCATCAAAAACAACTCTCAGTTTAGTCGTAGTACTTGATTCCTTTAATATGGCATGATGAGGCATGTAATACGTAGAGTCAATAAGAATCTCTCCCTCAGGCACTCCCTCCATATGTCTCAGCTCAAGGTATTCCCTCATGAAATCCTTATACTGTTCATATATCTGAGGCCTTTTTAGAAGTGAATTTTAAAAGATTGGAATCTACTCATAGCTAATTGTCTGGAATCTCCAAGCTGAGAAGGCGGAGAGTGAAAACGGTAATTTCACAGTATATACCCCACTTTCCTCTCTCGTATATGTAGATTTGAAGTAATCTTCACATGCTCTCTCCGATTTAGTAAGCATGTCAACGTAGGTACAGCATCCAGTTTCCAAAAGTCAGACAGCATCTGATCAGTTTCCACTTGTATATTATTCACATAGTAACAGAAATTAGTAGGATTAATTTCTGTTGAATTATTCACACTACCTGAAATAATCCATCCTATTTCAGAACGAGAAGCTACTGGTTTACCTTCTCTTCGCATTTAATTATTTCCCCCCTTCAAAAATGGTAAAGCAATATCTACGCCGAAAAGTATATCAACAGGCCCACTCTTGTAAAATGTTGGATCTGCTAACATTAATCATTATGTTCCTCAACGTACTTCTTATCCAATGTTAAAATGCGGCAAGGTTACAATAATTCTTATTGATGATAAATACTGGTGTTTTAAATGACACTTTCGCCGGAAAATGCAGGGAACGAAGTTTATTTCCGTAATTCCATTAGTTTTCGTATCTAGAGACCCTAAACATGAAATAGAAACTTTGACACTTCTGTCTTGGTAACCACAGTCTCTGTACGCAACCTTCTGAAATCAGACTTGCTTGATTGCCAGGATCAAGAGTGGTTCCACACAATTGGTATTCACCAGATGAATCTAACACTTTAATAACAGCCGTACATAATAAAACTTCACGCTGAAAATTAAAGTCTGAAACACAAGATTTAATTACTGGACTAGAACTTGCGATATTCTCCCCTAACCCAGCCGATTGAGCGCAAGGTTCTGGCTCAGGGAAAAATGGCTTAGCCATCAATGATAATTCATTCGAACTGTTCATAACTCCTTTACGTGCCTTTGGTTCATTTTGAACTCTTTCGAAATGCAGTAGTGTGTGATGATTTTTAAAGCACTTTTTACATTTATGTGTACTTCTACACTCGAAAGCTTTATGATTTGAAACCAAACAATTAAAACAAACATTATTTCTCTTGACAAAATTAACGCGTTCCTGAACATTCAGATTTAAAAACTTATTACATTTAAAAACTGAATGACCAGCTTTACAATACGTACACTGCACGCGAATCTCTGAAGCCAATGAAGTTAATTTGTCTTTTGTAACTTGTTTTTTAACACCTTGCATTTTACCTGCTTGCAAGGTTCTGGCATGAGATTTTAAGAACTCTGACAGCTGTCATTAAGTGTTGGTAGTTTCCTCACTCTTTAATGTTCTTTCCCACCATTCTCTCGTCGAAAGAATCCAATTTAAACTGTACTATTAACATCAAAATAGTATCCACGAATTGCTCCACTTTGAATCCTAGATTTTCAAATGAACTTACACATTCTCTTACAGTGTCTACTAACGCTAATATCTGACTAGGAATTTCAGCTTTGTAAATTTGATAAATACAAGATTTTCTTTAATAACGATGAAAGTTAATTCTCTCTTATGTGAAAATCTTTGACACAATAAATGCCACGCTATTTCAAAATATCTCTGTCACAAATAGTTAAAGCTTGAACAATCCACAAAGCATCTCCTTTAAAGAACCCTTTAAATATTGTAGCTTTTGTGCACCTGATAAATGGTCATTATCCACTATCGCCATTTTAAATAAATCAAAAAATGATAACCATTCTTCAGCTACTGCCACCTAATTACAGGAAGAGTTAGCTTAGGTAAGCGTATACTCGCTATTCACAAGATTTAGTTTCCACACTAATGTCTTTAACATTCTTAACTCTGCTTAGCATTAAAATTAACTCATCAACAGTATCTTGTATGACCTGCTGTTCTTCTATAAAGACATCAATATCTTTTTCTTCACACACTACAAATATGTTACTAAAAATATCCGAAAGTTCGGTCATTACATTATTTAACCTAGATTTAAAAAGTTCTAACTGATCAACATCAGCAGAATCATAAGTCACTGTAATTTTCTCTTTCAGTTTACTTAACTTAGCTTTAGCTACACGCTTTTTAGTCTTAAGCGTTGTAAATTCCATTATCTAATAAGAAAGATATAAAAACACACTGACTCACCAATTTTACTGCGACTCCGTAACTGACGGACCAAAAAATATGTGCGTATCGTTGTTTAAAAATAGTGGACTGTAAATTGACTTGATATTACTTCAGTATAGAACCCAAGAAATCTCAGAGTCATAATGTTGGCCGAAACTTCTTTATTAACTTTCAAACATTAAGTTGGTTGAGGAACGGCGAAGACCACACTGCAAACTCCGACTTCGGTAGCGGCTTACCACACAAACTCAGAAGAACCTCTGCTTAATTAAAACTCCAGTAATTCACAGCTACCTCAAAGCTCTAAACGCAAGCTTTAAAAACCTAACAAACTTGCGTCTGCGCCGCTCCTCGGTACAAAGAAAGAAATACAATTTGCATAACATCGAACAAACATCATTCGATTTCTTTGATTTATTTCTTTGGGGGCTTATTTAAGACCGAGTTTATGCACTGCCAGTGCCTGTGTTCATTGAGGAAGTTAGATAAAGCATGCACTGCAGACTATCATGGTGGACATACTCCTCTGAGTATGGGAAAAATTTGATTGCCCTGTAAATGTGTGTCATGTAACAAAGAACGACTGTGATTAATGCATCAAAAACTCGGACAGTTGCTACTACTTATGGTTTAAGATTTGCTCATATAAAGTAATATATTGATTTATTATTAATTTTTGAAACTGCTGCATTCATTTATAAACACCCTGTATGTATATTTGTCTTCAGTTTATTCAATCAGATATAACAACTAAATAAATAAGACATCTTCCACATTTTTCACTGAAATTTTTGAGGAACATCATTCAATTACTTCTTTTTATTTCATAAATAACAATTTAAATTTTAATTAAACTGTTTAGTAAATTTATATCTGTCAGCAGGTGCATCCTATGTGCATCATTGTTAATTTCGTCCAGTTTCTTCCACTGTCCTGGAAGAAACCCAGTCCTAGAAAAAGAAAAGTAACCTAACTCTGGGATTATGTCTTTTTTTTTTTTTTTTTTTTTTTTTTTTTTTGCTTAGAGTTATATCTTACCCTGTGAAATTCCAGGATGTTGGTAAAAGTGCTATTTAGTTGATATAGTCAAATGGCATACTTGCAGCTATCTAAAACACCTAAATTTTCTGAATAATATTATTTCAGATGATCAGACGTGGCTTCTTGGGTGTAACTAAGACACAGAATGGTAAAGTAATTTGTGGAAATTCGCAAATTCTCTGAAAAGCAAAAGAATTCTTCAGTGTGAATTTGAAATTGAACCAAAACTGATTCTATGATAATTTTCTGTGAAAGCAAGGAAATAATATGTCAGTAATTCATATCCAATAGACAAAATTTTATTATTGCATTTTACTCAGATGTGTAGAAACAATTTTATCAGAGTACACCATGTGAAATTGGAACATTAAGAAGAGTTGATTACTTCATTGCAATAATGCCTCTTGTCACAGGGTTGCAGTAGTTAAGAGCTTTGGATCAAATTTATATATGTATAGTGTCACACCTTACTCTCACTATAGCTCCATGCAATCTATTCTATTTTCCCAGTTTGAAGCATCACTTTAAGAGACTGATTAATTCTTTAATTTTGGGAGTGGTGTTTTCTAAGTTAAGAAAGCTATAGTAAAGGTTGTAAATAGCATTCCTTAATCTGCTTGCAGTAATTATATATGTCCTGTATCATTGTGCAAAGCAGCATTTAGATTTCAGTTTAATTTGAATAAATCAAATTTGATAATTTACTGTAGTAACCTTTTTTAAATTATTATTCTAATTAAATATTAGTGTTATTGTTATATTTTCGTGCTGTCTATATCATCAGTATATTGTTAATAAAATAATAAATATATCCTAAATACTTAAAAAACTTTGAATATATTATTTTTAATAAAAATAAAGTTTTTGATTTCATCCAAAAAGAAATTTGTCTAATGGCTTGCAAGTGGAAACACAGAATTCTTGTCATCTCGATTCATGCTTTAAATCTCTTATACATCTAAGATATGTGGAGTGATTTTCCTGATTTTTATACATTATATTCTTGAGTATTATTGCAATGTATTGTTATCTTTCATATGGTCAAGTTTATGTACAATGAAATATTTTCTGTATTTTTAGAGCCAAAAAAGAAAATTGCAAAATCTGAAGTGCGACAGATGGTTGCTGCTACATGATTGACTGTCATGAGTGATCATGATCTGATTAAATATTGTAACTTTTTCATGAGATATAACTGATTTTAAAGAATGGAAATTGCTGTTGAGATTTATGTAACAAGAAACCAAGCTGTTATTTGAGTAACTTAATGTAATTTCTGCATGTGTCATGATTTAGCAAAAATGTATATAGTATTAATTTTGTAAATACAAGTTTATATACTGTATTTTTATACATGCTTCAGTGGTATTAGAAACATTTAAAATTATTTTCAGTTAATAATCACTCATATAATGAATAAATATTTAAATTTAAAAATTGTTTATTAAACAATTATTTGCAATTAAGTATGCAAAATATTTTATTGAAAATATAACAGAGTTAAGAATGCTGCATTAGTATTACTTACTTATGTAAGTAATACTAATACACTACTATATGTATAAGTAAGTATTTTATTTGTGACATGCTTTTTCATTTATAAAGAACATAAATTTTCAGGAAAATCTTCACTATTCTGTACCAGAATTCTTTACTTTATTAGTTATTAAATGGCTGTTAGTAAATTACAGATCTTTGAATTATGTTCAAGCTGATACTGTAAAGCACTGTAGATCAGAATCATATAAAATGGGTGTCCATACAAATTTAAGTTTGGTGCTAACACTCAATCATCCATAATAAACTCTCCTTTAGTGATAGTTTTTTACAATTTAGTAAATTATTATTTAAGTCTAAAAATAAGTATCCTCATTTTCTAAAATGTATTCTTTTAGAACTATGTATTATCTGTTTCTTACTATTATTTGTAAATTATTTTAAAAAAAACTTTTTTCTTTGAATTGCCTGTATTCTTTATCGACATATATATATATATGTATCATATTCCATACATGGTTCCCATTTAAGTTTTTATGAATTCTTTTAACTTTCATCTGAAGTAACCTAGAGTTTTTGAAGCAGATTGTTCTAAAAGGAAAATTAATTTGCTCTGTTCACTGAGAGCATATGCAATGGCTCTAACAGCAGATTGGAGATGATAGAATTTCTGTCTCAGAAATGAAGCAAGTTAGATGAAATTTTTTTTTTTTTTTTTCCCAAAGCATCCTCTATTTAGTGTGGAAAGATGTGCAATTTATATGTATAATAATGTGTATCCATTTTGGGAAAAATAAGGTTAAAAAACACTTACATTCATGCATATCCGTCATTCAATGCTGAAGTATACATAGAAAAATAATAATAAAAATAATTAATTTAATAATAATAATTTTTTATTTATAATTTTATTTTATATGGTATTGTCCTATTTACAATCAACTAGTGTTGCATACAAATTACTGCAGGTGTATATACTCAACATATTACCTAAAATGATAAAAAAAAATGGTTCCATAAAACTCGATTCTCATTTCTCTCTCTTTTTTTTTTTTTTTTTCCCCTTCTTCTTCTGTAAGAGCAGGTATTTCAAGTTATGCATACCCATAATTAGCACAGAACTAAGGCTGTATGAGAAATCATAGAGGGAACTAATGTTAATGGGACATCAGATGTGTCTAAAATTATTTTAAGTTAAAAGAAATATTTTCTTAGCACTAATACCTTGGAGTTTTAACAGGTGCATATGAGGTAAGTAGTAATTTTGAAAATTTCCCAAGATAGCTGGTATTTATGCCTGTTGATACTGATAATTTAAAAGCTCGTAAAATAATAATAGTAACACCTATGAAAATCATGTATCAAATAATAACAGACTTAAGGAGGAAAAGAGATTTAATGGTGCTAAAAATTGTGTGGTTAATTTGATTATGGCGTTTAGGCTATTTGCCTAAATGGAGGGATGCCGTTGTAAAGAAATTTTTAAGGGGAACTTGCTCATATCCAAATTACACATTGGGAAAATAATGAAAACGCCCATGCAGCGAAACTGTTCACCTGAAATCAAAGCCAGGACAAACAACAACTGTTCAGCAACTTCACTGCTGAGCTACTGATGGACCCGGTTCTAAAAAAGAAGTGCAATTATTTGAAAAATAAAGTAATGATAAATACCCTACCATCATTAACTCCATGTAATTTCATCAGCATTCTATCAATTCTTTATTCCAAAGAATGGAAGCTGGGAATTTCCATGGACGTGCCATTGGGATGCCTTCACAAAGATGTGCTTTGTGACCCTTATGCAAGTCGGTCCTACTAAAACTAGAAAGTAAAAAAGCCATTCTGCACTGTATTATGCCTGAATTTAAGCACTACATATGTTGGTTCATACAGGGTATAAAAATTCAGTGACTTAGAGAGCGATGTCCTCAACTGGAAGTGTATAATCGTCATCCTATCAGTAAACCTTGCTCCTGCAGCCCTAGAAAACTTCAGATGAAAAGTTAAAGGTGTGCGTTTTCATATAAATTAATATTTCGTTATTAAAATTGCATAGATGAAAATACATGCTACTAACTAAGTCAAATCCTAAAATTTGTTTTAATTTTAATCTTTGAATGTTATATTTTCAAGTTTCGAATTTTGTTCGAGACGTTTCTGTTTAATTTTGTTACAGTACTGAGTTTCATTCTTAGTTACTTCAACATAGGCAAGATAATTAAGTCATTGCAGAACTATAAATTATTTAGGTCAAATAGTCAAAACTGTTATGGGAAAGAAAAATAATATGAGAATAAAACATATAATATTTTCTGAGAGTCATTGTTTTATGTGCATTTTGTTTACAAAATTAAGGGCAAAAGAAATTAGTATTCTTCATATATGGTGCTTTGCTTCAGTTGTATTTTCTAGTTTTTAAGGTGCGTAGAAAGAAGTAGCTTTTCAATTACATTGTAAAGGAAAAATTTATGACTATATTTATATACATATTTCGTCTTTCAATAAAAAAGATATGTATAATAGTGTTTTTTTCCCCTTTCTTGTTTTTACAAAAAATGTGTTTCAAACTGTAGGCAGATGGCGAAAAAAGGCGTTCTTTGTGGAAAAATTTCTTAAGGTTTCCTATCTTGGCACATTTTAATGGTCTTCCGCACTTGATGACAGAATGACGATATTCATTTTTATAAGCCTTTTTTATCGATAATGTGGCGATTTAGATTTAAAAATAAATAAATGAAACAGACTTAAAAAATCTAATGTGTACACCACGACTTCCTTATATAGAATATTATATTATATGCATTTTTTCCTGCATTTCATTTAAACATATTGAATTGAATTAAATCTACTTCGACGATAAAGCATAAACCACAGTAGAATAAATGCACTCTCTAAAATTCACTATATTTATTTACGATGGCGACACTCTTGCGCTAGGTTCACTTAGCAGCGTTACATCTCCTTCATTTTATAACTTAGAATGCAAAAACTTTATATCATCTTAAGCGTTATCTAATCGTTACCACATGTTCTATTCAAATACTATAATAAATCTAAAACGATGTATAAATGAAATTAAACAAATAAAAAAATAAACAGTTTTTCAGAGACAATTGAGCGCTGCTTATCTAATGCATATGGGCTACTCGTAAACATTCTTCTCTATCCGAAACAGACTGGCTACAGTATTTTCTGCTAATATAAAACACTTATTTCCTGGAATTTCTTTAGAGATGTATTTCTCATTCAATTCTTACTTCGCGGCAAGGCAAAAATAATAAAAACACAAAATATCTTCATTAAAAATTTAAAGATATAAAAAAACATAAAACACCAAATACAGTTAAAAAAAGTTTTACAATTAAAATTTTTTACAATTAAAATTCTATGCAAAAACAAGCAATTCGGGCAGCGGATTTTTCGGTGCACAAAATTGAAAGTTTACTTTTGGTCTCAATCGGCAAAAAGACACGGAAGACGTAGAAACTGAATTTGTTGTGGACGCTATTCTGAGTCAATATATGGAACATTTAATGATAATTCCAGAATGAATTAAGCATAATTCAATCCGCAATAATAAAAGAAGACGTTACTTTGTTGTTGCGAAGCCTAGTTTCTCTAGATTGGCAACAAATCCACTATTCCGCTAAGTTTCAAATGTAAGCAAATGTGGCTGCTATAGCAAAAAAAAAGTTAGGCTTAGCCGCACTTAAACAACTTTTAAATTGTTTATAATTCTACAACTGTAATATGCAGATTAACTAAAGACATAAAAACCTTAACCGGAAGATAAGAACGACATAATTCGATCATTTTTAAAGCAACGAATTGTACAATTTACAAACGTATAAGAATAAAGGAACTGAGCTCGCTGAGCCGAGTAACAATTCGGATATACAGATAGAGGACAAAATAATACGAATACCTGTGAAACAATGGAAAGTCTTTACTAATAGGGAATTGGACCACCTTTTGACTGAAGTACAGATTGAATGCGACGTGAGAGAGATGCATAAAGGTCATGGACAATATTTAAAGGAATATTATGCCATTCCTCCTGCAGAGCGGTCTCTAATTCCCAAAGTCGGGATGGAGGTGGAAACGGGAATAAAGTTTGGACTCCAAATATGCCCATAAATGTTCAATAATATTCAAGTCCGGAGACTGAGGGGGCCAAGCGAGATGTTCAATTGCATTGTCATGCTCTTCGAACCATTCTTGAATACACCTAGCAGTGTGGATATTGGCGTTGTCGTCTTGAAAAAGCGGTCGCTCCCCAGGGAATACAGTCTGGACGAAAGGCTGAACATGATCCCCTAGAATGCTTAAATAGTGATTGGATGTGATCCTCCCATGCAGAATAACAAGTGGCCCAAGATATCGCACCCCATACTATAATGGCGCGCCCCTCATGCTTCACAGTCTGCAAGAGGCAGTCATGATGAAACGCTTCTTTAAGTGTTCTCCAGACATAAACGCCTCCGGTCGTCTGAAATAGAGTGAATGACGATTCATCTGACCATATTACGTGTTGCCACTGCTGTGGGGGCCAGCCTTTGTGATCTCTGCACCATTGGCGTTGCTTGAAAGCTTTAGTTGCAGTCACCAAGGGTTTACGAATTGCCACTGTGCCATAAATATTCGCGGCATGAAATTCCCTTTTGACGGTTTTTGTTGAAATGGGGTCCTGGAGATAACTGTACATTTCGGATAACGATTGCTTGTGCTTTCGGACTACTATGCGCTTCAAGACCCGTCTATTCCTATCAGCCAGCTTTGACTTTCGGCCACTGTTGTGCTTTGAAGACGTCGTCTTACCCTCAAAGCCCGTCCACACGAGTACGCTCGAAACGTAGCTGACGAACGCGCTGTTACGTTACCAGCGTAAAAGCGTCCAAGCGAAGAGTGCGTTTAACCAATAGAATTATTTTGCGCAAAAATCACGTGACGCTGTAATATAGCGTCAACAGAGCTGTATCTTATTATTTCGCTGTGCTTCTGTATGTTTGCGGCAAGTTGTCCGAATCAGATGATTTTTTTATAGCTGAAACTTTACTGTGCAATTATTAAGCAGAGGCAAAACCGCAAAAAATGGCAATAAGGGGTCCGAAGATTTATTTTTTATTTAGAGCGACCTGTTCAAAGAGATTTTTTTTTTTTTACTGCCTCCTTTGCGAAATGAATATCCGGAATTATTAAATTCATACTATTAGCTCACACTCTCCCTATTTCTTGTTCAAATTTTCAGTACATAAAATGCTTTTTATTCATCCACTCAAGTTCAAATACAATTTTTTAAACTTGTAGTGAATGACACTTGATGTTAATACAGCGTTTTCACATATTAAATTTTTTTTAATTTTTAATTTTAAAAAATTGTGTTTGTATTTTTATTTATTTATTTTTGTATTTTTTTTATTTTTCTTTATGGATCTTAGTTGGAATTGATTCTTTTTTTTTTTTTTTTTTTTTTTTTTTGTTTTGTATATTACTTGTTTTTTAATTACTTCAGGATGAGTATCGACCAGTTTGACAGACTTGCAGATTCTATATTGTATGAAAATTAGGATTTATAAAATTGGTTTGGAATACAGTATATAACCATCCACCATATAATAAAACCAACTTCATACTTTTTTTAACTCCCCCTCCCTTGGTCTTTTGTTTTTCTTTTTATTTATTTTTGAATTTAGAATGAGGTTCAAACTTTGGACAGTTAATGCGAAATTATGTGCATGATAAAATATGCAATAAAGTAAAAATAATGAGAGAATTTATAGATGATATATGATAAAGAGGTGCAGACATATTATTACATAAGAATTTCTATTTGCAATGCACATTTTTAAACTAAATTAAAAACAATAATAATAATGAATAAAATAAGAAATGAAAACAATAATAATAGGTAAAATAAGAATATAATGATTCTTGATTAAATATAAGAAACACGTTTCAAAATGAGAAAAGCTAACTGAATTATATACCGTGTACGGATGACGTTCGAATTCGCCACCTTTCCCTTTGCAAAGCAGCGCGCTGACCACTTAGCTATCTGTGAAAGCAGTATTTGTGAAAAATAATATAACAAGTAGAAGTCGCTGCAAAGGTAATTTAATTAAACTTCAATAAATGATTGCTGTATGACACAAGTTGTAACTTTTCTCCAAAATTTCGTAATTGTATTTCATTGAATACTCTTTCACAGTCACAGTTGTTATATTGCTGAAGTTAGTTTTTGGTGTATTTAATATTGGAATATTTATAGAGCTTTTTATTACACATGATGTAGCTAATATTTATAATAATTAAGGAGAATTTTGTAAGGCAGAAACTTTGATTTCGTATAAATTTTAATTTATTTAGGTTCCTATTACTTACGATGTTATAAATAGGTAAAGCATATGAATATACTGGTCGGATCATTCCTTTATAAATATACAGTTTTCCCCTTTAATAAGAATTTTAAATTTATAGCAATATATACGGTTTGAGAAATCTGAAGCTGGCGTGAACAATGCTGATAATTTTATTGCTGTATACAGTTATGATATTTCTAAGCAAAAACTCATCTCTGTGTGGTTCTGACGCCATATTGAAACGGGTAAGCAAGAAGGTTTTCTGATTATGACACGTGATAAGAACTCGATCGGCTATTGGCTATACGCGCGCGTCGCGGTTGAAAAAGCTGAACAGGAGCGTACTCAGTTTTACGTCTTCTGCATCACGCGAATTTACGCCGTCGTCAAAAAAGTTGCGTCATCTTCGTCGCGAGCGTCCTCGTGTGGACGGGCCTTTATTCGCGTACGCTGTCATAACGGCTGATACCATACGCCTTGCCACACCCCACAAGGTTGCTGTTTCCGTAACCGATGCTCCAACTATGATTCCTCTTTGGAACTCTGACAGGTCCAACATTTCGACTTCTCACAGACAGTTCGATCGAAGCATGCAACGCAGGTGACTGCTGCTGAGAGACTGATACTTTTCTCTTCACGCTCACTAGGTGGCAGACTTCTGTTGCAGGTGGCGCGGCTGTACTGCAGGTGTGAAATACGTCATACTTTTTCACAGGCTTTCGCATTATTTTGTCCTCCATCTGTATTTATATACTTTTGGCGGGGTCGATTGCTACCGAAATAGGAGGTGCACATCTACATGTTATAGCAGTCCTATATGCAAAATTTCAACTTTCTGGGGCTACTCGTTTTTGAGTTATTGCCAAATACATATATACGTACGTACAGACGCCACAAAAAATTGTTTTCGGAATCAATTTTAAATCAGTTTTATATTTTGTGGGGGGGCAAAGAGTCCTTTATTCTGTTCTTACGTAGAGATGCCGGGCAAAAACATCGTTAAATTGCATTCGATAGCGGTCAAAATGGATATTTTCGTTAAAATATGATACCCGGAATTTTTCGTGATTATAATACTTCGTGTAAGGAAATAAAAACAATTTTTATACACTAAAAAAGGTCTTATTTAAAATGGATGTGATAATTAAAGCACTGAAAGGA